GGATTGGGCATTACTGGTTTTGCCTACACTGTCCCAAGGCCTCTGTGGTAAACCTTGGGCTTTGGTGGTAACAAGTGAGAAACTGAGTGGAGGCAATACCTGCTGCAGCCAACAGCACGGTACAGGGATGCAGATGGCTGGCTTCAGGCTTTCCTGACTCCCCAGTGAAAGACCACCCTCATGTGAACAAAGCAGAGGGTTCCAGGTCTCCCTCCTGCTCATCCTCGCCGTTTACAAGCACGTCTCTTGTTGAAGGCAAACTCAGCATTCATTACAATCCAGCCTGGAAATGTCTGAAGACACAACATTTTTATTATAAAAACATATAAACATGTTTTAAAATGTATAAAACATATTTTCTTTTTATGGCCCAGATAAACCCTCTAACTTCAGTTAATGCAAATTAACCCTACTTGTGTTTCAGCATGCTGGTATCTGAACATCCAACGATGTGGTGGTCTTTATGCCAACCATCCCTCACAAATTCAATGTTTTTCATTGTCTTTCTGAAGTCTTTCCTTCACCTGGGTTGGAAAAAAAAAAAGGCACTTAACATCTGGAAAAATTAAATCTTTGGAAGTTTGCCGGTCTGATTGCCACAGAGTTGCTACAGAGTTTTTGTTCCTTATGATTCTCCCATGCAGCCCAAATATTAATTGCCAGAGATCAAATCTCAGTGCAAGTGGTTCAGTTGTTTTCCATCATTTTGACTTGCCCATATGAAACATTTCCAAAATGTCAGAAGTCACTGATATTTTTTAAACACTGAAAATCTCAGAACTTATCATTTCTGTATCAGAAGTGATTTTCAGTTATCCAAAAGGTTTCTCCCTCTAACAAATGCCACCACTGAGGTATTTCAGCTGGTGTCAGCAATGTCACAGATACTGGGTATAAGAACAGTAGCAGTAAAAATATATGAGAGGGGCAGGGGGAGAAACAGAACTGAAGTGCTCTTGAAAAAGGAAGTTGGATTAATTTTCCCACTGGATTTTCCTTGTTTACACTTAGCTTGAAATCTTGGAAGGAAATGTAATGAAATTATTACTTGGTTATTTTACTTTGAAAAATAACCATATCCACTGGGAAAATAAGAAAACCTTAAAAATATAAACAAGTTATTTTCAAGCGAGTCGCTCATCCTCCCACCAGAGTGCCATCTCTCCTTGCTCTCACTGCAGCATTTCCTTCTCACCATCTCCAGCCACCTTTTCACCCCCCTCCACACTTCAAATTACTCATTTCTGTCCCAATATCATTTTCCTCCACCCTCCAAAGTCTGGTTCAGAAGCTGGTTGTCACTTCTTCACGGACAGAGGCATTGGGGGTAAGGTGTTACATGGAAGGGGCAGGCCTTTCCTTGCTGAGGAGCACATGGCCACTCTCGAGCAGGACACCTCATTCACGAACCCTGCAGGAGCTTCCGCACCCAAACAGGCTCATAACACTAGACAATCTTCAGAAAGGTTTCTCTATCGCAGTGGTGAAGTAAGATGAACAGCATTTTTGACGCAACACGGTTGTTATTCTCTTCCTTTATTCAGACTTAAGAGGGTTGGTTGGTTGGTTTGTTTTTACAATCAGAAATTTGATTTGAATTATCCAGACATTTTTTTATGTAACTATAAAATACTATTGTAATATGCTTTAAGTATGGACTACCCAACAGGGTAAACCTGTGAATCTGTGTCTTCCTCTTTACAACCGAGCGTCCCCAGAACAGTTCTCAGGATTTGTAGCATTTAATACACATAGCTGAGTCATTTTGAAGACCTCACTAAAATTTCCTCATTTAAAATCTTGATCAGCTGTTGGACTTGAACACATTTCTTCTGCTTCTGATCACCCAACATCAAATTAGAAGCTATAATAAAAATCCTAGAAATTTCGCAACATACCTGTCACCAGATTCAGAAGGTTTCCTAATTTTTCAAGAAGGGGGAAGGGAGGCAGGCTGTTGGATGCAAAGTGAATGCTGACCTGCACTGACCCCTTCTGGAAAGCACCAAAAATGTACCATTGGAAACAAACCTGTACTGGTCTGGGGGGTGCATGTGGGAACTATGTGACCTAATAGCTTTTTCCATCTCGATTTCTATGATTTTTAATCATGTTCAGTTGGAACACCCTCAACCTTCATAAGCTATTTGCACGGGTAAGGCTCTGGAGCAGACACACATATCATCCATTAGCATTCAATGGACCAGAAAAGGCCCGAAGGACCAGAAAAGTTTCTTTGTAGTTGGAAGTAGAAAATAGTAATATGTTATAGGAAATAAGAAAAATAGTAAAACACATTCCATTTTTCAGACAAGAACACAAATTAGTATGCAAAGAAAAATGGAGGCTTACAGAAAATCTACAATATCTAATCCCAAAGCAGTTCAAACAAGGGAATACTGTTTCTTTGCACACAGTCCCATAAAATCTCTAGAGGCCATAAGCAATTAGGACATAAATTTCTCATCTAAAATACGGTACGTCCTTGCTCCTGAACAGACCCACACTTGGGAGCACAGGTTTAATTTTAATTTGAAACAAAAATGGAATCATTCTTCAATGGCGGCGATGTCCTTGGAAACATCCAGTTCTATCTAAACTGGACCACCCTCCACAGTGCTGACAAATCACAGACCGTGGCTGAACTGACTTACAGAAAGAAAATAACTTTCTTTTCTCTCTTGCAGAGACGGACATAGTACTCATGGTTATTTTTCTTTTCCCCTGAGTACAAGGGGTTGATGAAATAAACACATTCAAGAATTATCTGCAAGAAATCAGAAATATGTCAAATTTCCAAAGTTGGAAAGAGATGATGGGCTTCAACTCAAATTGGCACATGCTTTGTTTGTCTCCTTGGGACTTGATGGTCTGCATTACTAACAGTTGTAGAAAATACTCAGAAGACAAAGAAAACATCTCGGGAGAAGAGACAATTCACCCAACCCAGAGACTGCAGGGTTTTAAGAAAGCAAGTATTTTCCGTCTTTGCGTTAAATTATGTGTCACTTAAATTCTGTTAGAGACCCCGTTTGTTTGAAGGTGAGGCAAGCAAGTGGAGAGCTTACTGTATCTGAACAATCACCACGTTGCTAGCCTCTTTCTATCCCACCAAAAGCCATAGTGCTGCTTAAGTATCCTCATCAAAATTCCTATGACATGGAGAAACATCTGAACAGCCCCTAACACTCTGTCTACACATCTTTACCATGGCAAGCCAGCACTGTGCTTACCAACTGTTGGCTTCTACCCCATGAAGAGAGTCCCCCCTTTAGTTTTCCCCATCACAAGAAGAAATTGCATTTAACTTAAGCAATTGAATAAACTCTCCTGTCAGGTTGTTGCAGCCAAACTCCTTCCACTAGGATAAAACTCTCTATATAAAGAAAAAAAGAAAAAAAACAAAGCAACCCAACTCATAAAAATGTGACATCACTACACCACTGTGCTTAGCAACGTTCCTTCTACTCATAAGGAAGTTATCTCTAAACTGGATGGCAGTAAATATTTTGTTTGGCTCTTATGTTTAGGCTTTTGGACAAGCTAAAGATCATCCAGCTTCTAGAAATCATTATATAGCATAATGCGATGAGAGAGGAAGAGATCTCTTCCAGCAAGCATTCTTACTCAATTTGTTGTCTGAATAACTGGGATGGCCATTGTCATTGCTTGGCATAGAGCACAAGAGTCTGGACAGAAGCCCTGCCTTCATTCCCACTTCTTCGGAAAGTCCCAGAGTTGAGTGCTTTGATCTGCCACAGAAAGAGATTTGCAAACTGGACTGTAACAAGAAGCAAGTGTAACACACAAGACGAAGGAGGTGGAAGACCTCCTGAGACAGGAAGATCAAATTTTATTTTATATTGAAATTTATATTTATGTCACTTTGTATTTTACACCACATTTTAGCTAGAAACTCAGAAAAACATACAGAACATCTTGCATGAGCACTGTTGACCACTGATGGAATAGAATGGCATGAATACCCATCAATGCATATGACTTCTGAGGGATTTTATCTAACTCCATTAGTTTTGCTTACTGGATTTTTTTAAAGAGATGAAATGACAAACAGAAAGCAAACAAGCACTTGGGGAAACCCCATGAATGACCTTTGCTAGCAAGTACAGTTCAACTCAATCTTAAGTATGCTCTTCATGAAGATGCAGCATTACCATCTAAAATGAATGGTTTGTTGGTATCTAAAGTCCCAGCTAAATGACTCACCCCCTCAACTGGCTCCTCTAGGCTACCTTCCACCAAAGGCAGGTGGAAGAAGCTAAAAAGATGAGGTATACTAAAAAAAAAAAGATGGGAAAAGCAATTTCTCAGCAGCCTACAAGCTGCCCAAGACCTGCCAAATGCAAGTAATATTAAAACAAAAATGGAAAGCATCTAAACTGGACCAACTGGTTAAAGAGTAAGTTTACAGCCTGGCAACATGCTGCTTCAAATGTTCATCTGTTGAATTACACGAGCCAGTGCAGGAACATGCACTGACCTCAGCATCCCTGGCAGATACAGATAAGTCTCTTCCATGCACCCCACAGCTGGCCTGAAACAATCCTGATGGGGGGTGGGGGGTGTTACCCCAGAGCCCATGCAAACATAGTTTAAACTAAAACGCCCCTTGTATACTATCTCACTGAAGAGCCAGGAGAGAGCCAGGAGAGAGTCAGGAGCTGTGGCAGGAGTGTTGCTCAGGCCTCCATAGCACAAAGCCAGCACTACCTCTACATTCACCTCCACCTCAAGCTGATAGAAGTTCAAAAAAACCCACCAAAAACCACCCCCAACAACAAAACCTTAAAACAATCAAACGAAAAAAATTAAGAAAACCACTCTAGGGGAAGATACTAGGCAACAGAGCAATAGTCTCCCGCCTCCTTCTCCCCTCAGGTGACAGGCGCCGTGGCAGAGCCGCGCATCAAAATGGCGCCGGCCGAACCCGCCTTCTCGCCGGCGGAAGCGGGAGTGACGGCAGCGTTGGCGACGGCAAGATGGCGGCGCCCAGGTTGTTGCGCGGAGGGTTGAAACGGTTGTTCACCGGGCTTTTCGGAAACGGTTGGGCTTCGCCGCCGGCCCGAGCCCTCCGGGAGGGTGAGTCCGGGGATGGCCCTGGGCGGAGGGCAGGCCGGAGGGGACG